ATATATATAATTTTGTCCCTTTTGTGTACTTAATTTTTTTTATAATTAAATTTAATTATGAATCCTTGAATTAAAAATATTAAATTTAAGATAAAAATATAATTTTTCTGTTTTGTTTTGTTATAAAACTCACGGTCAGAAAATTTATTTTTTCAAAAAAATTTTTATTTTTTATCTCTCATTTATAATATTTAGTTAGTCTATTATCAAAAAAAAAAAAAAAAAAGTGCCAACGGTCAGAAAAACATTTACTAAATGATACAATAAACTTGAGCCCCCTCTCTTTTCTCTCTCTCTCTCTCTCTCTATTATAACAAAGAAATTTTTTGAATAAAATAAATAAATAATGAAAAATTTATTAGGATCATCATCATCATCATCATCATCATTGTAAACAGATAGATAAACCAAAACTTAGTACATATATACTATTTGTTAATTAATGTCGAAAGTTTTAGGCGAACAAAAACAAAACAAAACAAAAAACAAAACAAAACATAATCAAAACATTATACTAAAATTTCCAGTGAGAAATATTAAATTTTAAACAATCGTTTTTTGTGCAACATTCACAAAAAAAAACGTTACGATATTTCAATAAAATTCTTTTTACCCTTTAATTAATGCAATTATAAATATTATCATTATTATTATTATTAAAAATTCTATAAGTTAAAAAAAAATTGCAGAATTTTGTAGAATTCACATGCCAAACATAAAACTTTTAAATAATTTTTTTTACATAATGGCGTGTGTGTGTGTGTGTGTGTGTGAATTAAAATTTTAAACGTTAATAAAAGTTCAAATAAGTACTATTATTATTATTATTATTATTATTATTATTATTATTATAAAATAAGCGTTAATTCCAACAAATATATCAAAACGATATTCATTATATTAAATTAAATATTATTATTATATTACTTGAGATTTTTGTTTTCAGGTCATTCAATTTAAAAAAAAAAAAAAAAAAAAAAACTTGAGAATGATTGATTATATAATATTCCTTCTAGAAAAAACAAATCAAAGTTAATAATCTAACATTAAGTTAAAAAAATTTGCAAACATTTTATATACAAAATTTATTTATTTTTTTTTTATACATTCAATCATTCTAGAATTAATTAAACCAAAAATAAAAATTCTAAATTTTTAAAAAAAAAAAATTCTCGACCAATTACATAAGAAACTAAAAAATAATAATAATGTTGTGTAATAAATGTTATGCCAAAATAAAAACGTTCGAGGCAAGGTCTTTAAAAAAACGTACCTTAAAAAAAAAAAAAAAAACCTTAAAGTCGTAGTTGTTTTGTTAAGAATCTTTTTTTTCTTTTACGATTACTTTATTTAAATAAAACTCCCTTTTTTAAATTAAAATAATTTTTTACTATACTAAAAGTATTGTAACCTTGACCAAAAAAAAAAAAAAAAATTCACGTTTTTAAACTTTTAAAAATGTTTGTTTTTATTATTAGCATTAGTTAATAAATATCATAATTAAATTTAGTTAATATTTTTACATAAAAAAAAAGGTTTAACCTTTTAATTGATTAAGGTTTTACATAAAGTACACACACACACACACATGTCTTATTATAAAATAATTTCAAATTCTTATTTGTTAATCATAATAACATAAACATTTTTGTATAATTTTTTTCATTGTAATTATTCCTGATTGAAATTTTTTTTTAATTTTTTCCTTCCCCCCCCTCTCTCCCTCCCTTTTTTAATTAATCAGCTTTTTTTTTTGTACAACAACATGTGCCAAATAGACTTATGTACAGTTCTTATTAATTTTTAATTGAAAACTTTTAAAATTTTATTGAATGATTTTTTACAGGCACATGCCTGTATATAAGTATGCCTTTTAATAAATAAAAATTGATGACAACAAATTTTAAAATATTTTTTAACTTATGTTTTGGAATTACATTGGTGACATTATACATAACATAAATTTCTTAACTAAATGAGTATAAATTTATAATAAATATAAAATAAAATGGCTGACATTATGTTTTGTATTCTACATACAAGAAATTTTAACATGAGAAATTTTTATTCATTTTTCAGATTTTCTTCAATATAATTTCACATGTAGCTTCAAAAGGATAAGAAAATAACTTAATAATAATAATAATAATAATAAATATATAACAAAATGAGCACCGAGAACGAAGTAACTGTTCAAATATGTCATCAACCCATTGATTTAGAATTTCAAGATTTGACATTAACTCGTAACGGAAAATATGGTTAGTTTTAAAATGTTTTTAAATAATTAAAATGGCGACAAATGAAATCAAAAGTACATTTTTTGCAGCAATGATAATTTCTTTTTCCCTTTTTTTAATTTATTACGTTTTTTTTTTTTTGAGTTTGATTCGTATTGAGCTCTAAATAATAAATATCTTAATCTTATAACTAACGATATCGAAAAATAAAAAAAATTTACCGTTTATTAAGATTTTGCCATTTCTATAATAATTCCAACGGTTTTCATTAAAAGCTTCCATTATTGGCGGTCAACGATTAAATCAGTGTGACCTCTTAATTTTTCTTTATTTGACATCCAGTGTTGCCAATATTGTTTTTTTTTTTTTTTGATTATTTAACTCAAATGGCGTTTCGTTAAATTACGTTTATTCTAATAACAAAAAATAATATTTATTAAAATTATTTAAAATATAAACATCTTAAAGTTTTTTTTATGCATCGTTTATAAAATACCGTTTTTCTCATCCCCCAAAAATGTCTGAATTAATTAACGGCCATTTTTTTAAATTTTATTTTAATAACATATTGCATTTGTCAAAATTTATTTATTCTTTTCAAATCTTCTTAATTAATCGAATACTTGACATAAGAAATACTTAATATTGATATAATTTTTTTTTTTTTTTCGTTGTCAAGTATTCCTTGTTCGGTATTTAATAAGCAATTATTAATAATCTATCATGTTACACCACTTAAATTGCTGCTGTGACAAAAAAACGATAATGATTTATTATCGGGTAAGTTTAAATTAACGGTTAATTTTCCGACAGCATTTTATTTTAAGTGAATTAGTATAATTAAATTTATTGGGCTCTCTGATGGATCGATCATTAATTTTTTTTTTTTTTTTAACTAGGTCTACCTTCGAGACAAATCCTTAAGGGTGCTAATGGTAGATTCAAACCAGGGAGGTTGACAGCTATTCTTGGACCCTCTGGAGCTGGAAAAACTTCACTTTTGAACATTTTAACTGGTTTTAGGTAAAAATAAATAAATTTGAAAATACAATTTGGTTTTTACTAAAAAAAAAAAAAAATGTTGAAACTGTAATTTCTGTTATTTAGAACGACAGGAGTAAAGGGTAGTGTTAGAGTCAATGGTAGGGAAAGAAATTTGCAAGTATTTAGAAAAGAATGCTGTTATATTACTCAAGAATTTGCTATGCTAGGCCTATTGACAGTTATGGAAACTTTCAAATCCACTGCTGATCTCAAATTAGGCAATAAAGTTAGCGAAGAAAAAAAATACTCCATTGTAAGTGTCTCATAATAAAATCTTAACTAAAATTGTTTACAATTTACTAATTATTGTCAATTATACTTATTCCACTAAAAGAAAATGATCATTAAATATATTATAATTGACAGATTTCAGACATAATTGATATTTTGGGACTTTCATCTTGCATAAATACACAAGTGAGGCATCTATCTGGAGGAGAAAAAAAAAGACTCTCTATCGGATTAGAATTGATCAGCAATCCTCCAATTATGTTTTTCGATGAACCTACCAGGTAAAATCATATTAAATTTCATTAAGTGTACCTTAATTAGAGAAATTTTACAACATTTTATTTGTTCGAAATATGCTTCATAATTTTTGTTTTTAGTGGTCTCGATAGTTCATCATCAGTTCAAGTTATATCTCACTTAAAGACTTTAGCAAGAGGTGGTAGAACAATTGTCTGCGTAATACATCAACCAAGTTCTAGAATTTTTGAAATGTTTGATGATTTGTATATTTTGGTCGATGGTCAATGTATGTACAATGGTCCAATTGATGACATGGTACCTGTATTAGAGCAATCTGGATTTAAATGTCCAAAATATTACAATCGAGCTGATTTCGGTTTGTTTATCTCAATAAATGAAATAAAGAAACTCTTTCTCAAAAATATAAATAAATAATTCTGTTTGATTTTTAGTCATTGAAGTTGCTTGTAAAGAAAGAGGAGAAAATTTGGATGCGTTATTCACATTAGCAAATAAAAAAATAATGGCCGAAAGGCTAGAAAGAAATAGTAGTAAATCTAGTAATTACCAAAGAAGTGAATCTGATACAAATTCTGGATTCATACACGAACAAGGTAAATTTATATATATAAGAACAAAACTTGAAAATAAATTTTTTTTTTACCGTTATTAAATAATAATAATACTATTTTCCTATAGTGTTTGTAGATGGAAAAAATCTCAATACGAAAATTCAAATAATTCCAATGGATCAAATTAGTCAAATTTCGAATAGGAGGAAAAAAGTTAAAGAAATAACAGCAAAATATCCAACACCAGTTTTACTACAATTTTGGATTTTACTTAAAAGAACTTTTTTATGCAGTTGCATACGTGATTTGGTAAATATTCAATTATACGTATCTAACTAACCGTATATATCGGAAAAAAGTTTCTTAACGTTATGGTTCTTTTTAGCACATGGCACAGATTCGAGTGGTAGCTCAAGTTGTAGTCGGTCTTTTAATGGGCACAGTTTTCTACAACCTAGGGAATGAAGCATCGAAAGTTCAAAGCAATTCATCTTTTTTATTTTTTTCTCTCATGTTTATTTTTTTTTCCAATTCCATGCCAACAGTTCAAACTTGTAAGGGAATAATTTTTTTTAAAAATTAATTTCAAATTTTTATGACATCTAAAAAGTTTTTTTTTTCTAGTCCCATCAGAAGCAGCAGTTTTCATCAGAGAGCATTTAAATAATTGGTATTCAATAAAAGCTTATTATTTTTCAAAATTAATTGCGGACTTACCCCTTCAGGTACACACACACACACACACGCATCATATCTTGATCCTAAATCCATCTCCTTTTGGAAACTTCCAGACAGTTTTGAATAATATATTTTTTTCCCTTTTCCAGATGTTTTGTCCATCCGTGTACTTATTAATTACTTATTTCATGACGGATCAACCTCTTAATTGGGATCGAATAGGAATGGTTCTTTTATTAGGTTTTACCGTAACGATAATGGCTCAAGCTTTGGGTCATGCTTTTGGAGCAGCATTCGATGCTCAGGTAAGAAATTTCCACCAAAAACTAAGCCACCAAATCTAAAAAAAAAAAAAAAGAAAATATTTAAAAATTTTTTTTTGTTTATTTTCAGTTGGGAACCTTTTTGATTCCAGCATCAGCGATTCCAATGTTTTTATTTAGCGGATTTTTTATATTGTTAAGCGATTTGCCTCCTTGTTTAAATTGGTTATCCTACGTTAGTTATTTCCGGTATCCTTTCGAAGGTTTAATGTTAGCCATTTACGGTCACGGACGTCCTCATTTAAAATGTTCTCTCCCATACTGTCATTATAAAAATCCAGCAAAGTACCTAAACGATTTAGATTTGGGAGGAGGGAATTTTTGGATCGATATTGGTGGAATCCTCGGATGGATAATATTTCTTAGAATAGTATTTTATTGCATATTAAAATGGAAACTTTATAGAATTCGTGGCTATTGAAACAATTAAAAAAAAACAATGTTATAAATACTTAAATTCAAAAACATTGCGGCTAAATGCTTAAAAGCAAATATATATATAAAAATACTTTTTAAAAAAGAATTATTAATAAAAAAAATTTTATTTAATTTAATTGAGCTGTGGGGAAAAGAAAAAAAAAAATTTAAATTTTTAAAATTCTGCGCTTTATTGAAAAAAATATTTTGCATTACAAAAGGATAAAAATTGAATGTTTTTCTTGTAAAAAACGAATCCCTGCAGAAAAAATGGCAATTATAAAGGATATAACGAGAAATTTCCTCAAGATGAACACACAAAAACCGCTCAATTTATTTTATTATTAATAATATTATTTCCGAAAGAAATTTATTTTTGATCTCATAAAAGAAGAAATGTCAAACTTTAAATTGTAATTTTTTTTTTTTAAAATTTAAATTTGTAACGAAACAATCGAAGGGAGCACCTACAAAAAACCATGTAGAAAAAAAAAAAAATTTTTTTTTAATTATCAATTTTTTTATGAATCTGTTTTGTTATTATATCTAGTCATATTAAATTCCAAAAAAAATTAATTTTTATTAATTCACAATTATTATTATTATTATTATTAAAAACTAAAATAATTACGTTATTTTTTTTTTATTTTTTTAAATATATATTTAGATTTAGTAGTAGTAGTAGTAGTTGTAGTTGTAGTTATAGTAGTAGTTTTAGTATCTAAAATTAAAATTTTAACTACGAGTGGGTTTATTTAATTTTTGTGTCAATTTATTAATTTTTCAAATGTGTCAAAAAAAAATTATCACGGTAATAATAAAATAATAATAATAATAAATTTTTTGGCAGCATATTATCATTGTGTAACCTCTGTATCGAAAATAATAATAATAATAATAATAATAATAATAATAATAATAATAATAATAATAATGCGTTAATAAAAAATTATTATATAGTTTGTAATACTTAATAAATAAAATTATTATGCGCCTCCCCTTTTTTTTTGTTTTCTTGTTTTCTATATTAATTAATTTTGTAATAATTTTTCTTATTTAATTTAAATTTTAACATAATAATAATAATAATAAAATGTTTATTTAATTTCAAATAGAAAAAATAAATAAATCGTAATAGTACTCGTATGCAAACTTAAATTGTTTTTTTTTTTCCTCCTATTTTATTTTAATATATTTAAAAAAAAAAAAAAAAAAATTATTTAAATTTTTTGGTGTGAAAGGTCAAGTACAATTGTTAAAGATTATCTTATGTTTTTTTTTTTATGTTTTATATTTTATTTTAAGACGACGCGACATTATTTAGGATCAAAGCAAACGTCATGAACCTTTCAATAAAAATTTAATAAATAAATAAATAAATAATTTGTTTTAAAAAAAAAAAAATAATTACACTCTTATTAATTCTTCCTAGTATTGTTTCCTTTAAAACAATAATAATAATAATAATGTTTACTGAATTTTACGACAAAACAAACATTAAAACTAAAACAAAACATTTGTTTGTATATTAATAAGTTTTTCTTTTGTTTTTTTTTTTTTTTTTTTATCTTACTTCTTAAGTAAGAAAACTAATAAATTATTTTATGTATTTTTTTTTTTTCTTTACTATCAGTTTTCATACGATATGAAACATAAAAGCTGAGACAATGTTTTTTTTTTTTTTTTTTTTTTTAAACATTTAACTTTGTAAGCCATTGTTGAGTCTAACTTCATAACCAGAAAAAAAAAAAAAAAAAAAAAAAATTATCAATCATCATTATTTTATTATTTTTTTGTCATCATCAAACCTGAAAAGTTTCATTCAATTTTATGACGTCACTATTTATTTTTTTAATTGGACTTTCATTGCTTGAATGATATATTTTTATTGTTTTTTTTTTTTTTCCTTTTGATTTCTATAAATGTAAGCAAAATATGACGTTGTTTAACTTTTTGCTTTGAATGGCTCAGCAAAAAAATTTTTATATGAATCATCATCATCATCATCAACATCAGAAAACCTGCTGTACTGAATATAATTTTAAGCAGGTTTTAAGTGTGTGTGTGTGTTATAAATGACTACACTTTGGACATTTTGCTTTGATCCTTTTATTGACAACATGTAAAGTGTATTAACAAGTTGTCATAATCAGTTTATGACAACATGTTGCAAACAAACACCATCATGCTCACATTCATACAGGTGGTTATTAAAAACAATAAAAAATTTACCTTTAAGACAACGACAAGTAATCCATTTAGTTGTATAAACTTTTACAAAAGGAAGAAATACATTGTTTGGTCATCAATCATCAATAACAGTTATGAGTTTTTTTCCTTTCAATGTTACACTTGTTATGTACATGTTAATGATGTTTATTAATTTCGATGGAAATGACACATTAACTGCATATAAAAAAGAGAAACAATAATTAATATAATAAAAACAAACGTTTTGTTTGTGTTGTGTGCATGCAAACACAAATCAGTAATTAACATAATTTTTCCTTTTTAATATAAATGAAAGAGTGCGTTATATGAACGTTGACAAACAAATTTATTTCGAATAAAATTTATACTTAAAAAAGTAATAAAATAAATAAACATAATTTAAAATACATAATAAGTAAACATAATAATAATAATTTGTTTTTACCCGTCGGTATTAATAATAAAAATTCCAAACAAAAACGTTTTTTCTTTTAAAATTTATCAAAGATTCGAATCATGGAATTAACGACATTGTTGTAATTCTACTCTAATCAAATCAGCAACTTTTAAAAATTACTTATTATTATTATTTTTTATTTAAATGTTTTAAAATTATTAATTTAAATAAAAACTATAAAAAGAAGAAAATTTATTTTAAATAAATAAATTTTATAATATAAAAAATCAAAGCCGAAATAAATTTTTACTCTCGTTAATTTATTTTCATTTAATTACTATTTTGATTAGTGATACGCTTCCGGTCAAAGTTCTAGAAATAAAACACCAAATTGAATTTTAGTTCGAATTTCCAATTAACGATTAACGATAAAGTTAGATATTTAACGGTTAAAAAATTTTCAAATTAAAAAATAATATTAATACAAACATCATATTTCCTATTAGAATTCAAACAATATATACATTTAGGTAAATATAAATGAATTACCCGATGTAATTTATTTATTTACTTTAATTAAATGATAATTAAATTAATTAATTAATTAATTAATTAATTAAAATTTCAGACTTTTTAATTACAAAAAGAAAAAACAATCTCAACAATGCTTTGTTCGAGTCTAAATATTATCTAAAAGGTTATCATTTGTCTTTTTATATTTACAATATTAAACATTTAAAAAACATTAATAAAACTATCATCATCATTATTATTATTACTTTTTTGTCGTTATTCACCTGGATCAGGATTTTTTTTTCGAAATTACCAAACGTACGTTTATAAAGTAAGTACAAAGTTATAAATTATAAATAAATAGATAAAAATGAATGAATGAATGAATGAATGAATTTGATATAAAAATGGAGTCATGTGTAAACTGATATTCACATACTCCTTCACAAACAGTTTTAAAAAAAAAATTTGCAAATCCCTTAATTCCCGTGGGATATCAAAACCTAAGGTTCAAAATTTATTTATTTATTTATTTATTAATAATGTTAATGACAATCAAAATGATGATGATGATGATTCTTTTGTAAAAACACTTCCTATCGTTGTTTCCTATTGGTCGTCAAAAACGTGACAATTCAATTAAATAAAATTTTTTTTTTTTTTTTATTTTGCCACGTTTATACGTGGTGACGTTAACCTTCAATCTTAATTTAATTGTCACGTGATTTATTTTTTTTTTTTTTGGATAAAAAATTTATTACACAAACATACATATTCTAAAAAAATAAATAAATAATAAATAAATCTATTTTCGTTAATTCTAATTAAATTTCATTAAAGTATTTGTTATACGAACGAATTACATAATTTTATTTATTTACTTATTAAAATTTTGGGTCGTGCAAGGCTTTACGTACAGCGTTTTAAATTTTATAAACAATTTATTATTATTATTATTATTTACAAGAAAATTTTAAAACTGTGACATAAAACATAGTCGAGTTTATTAGGAATAAATAAACATAAAGTTGTAAATATGGCATCCATTTTGTTTTTAAACAAAATCGTGTTAATTTTCAATTAAACATTTCAAGTACTCGCGTACGAAATAAAATAACAAAACCATTTCGATTAATTATTATTATTATTATTATTATTATTATCATCATTATTTTTTATAAGCATTTTCCATACTCGAATGAAAAAAAAATAATAATAATAAAAATTTATTATTATTATTATTTATTGTTGTTGTGTTTGAGAAGACGTAAAACGTTGTCGTAAAAATTAACGTTACGAGTACTTTAGAGAGAGAGAGAGATAGAGAATATTTCTCTCTTACCCACCATTAAAATAATAATAATAATACTACCAAGAAATTTTGAATAAATGTTTTTTTTTTTTTCAACCGAATGACTGCTGTACCTGTCAATCCTTTCACCAATTTTGAAAATAATTTTATAAACCTTGAATAACAAAAAATGTTTTTCTCAAACGAGTTTTAATTATTTTCACCTTGAATCATCATTCGCCATTTTGAAAACATATATATATTATTCATATTGTTCTTTTTTTTTCTATTTAACAAATAAAGAATTTAATTGCTTCAATGATAATTTAATGCTTTGATTATTATTAATAACAAATACATATAAATAATACGATGATGATAATAATGATTTTTTATAAATAAATTTTTTTAAATAAATAATTCGCATCGTTTTGGAAAATTAAAAAAAAAAAATCATATGGGGTCAAAGGTTATATTTCACGGACGAGACACACGCAATGTCACAAAAAAAAAAAAAAATTATTAATAATAATGATTCCAGTTTAAATGAGATTCGTCGATATCATATTAAATTTTTTTTTTTTTTCGTCCT